AGATGAGCTCGTGAAAGATATGATCTCTATTGACATAACGGGTGTATTCATCGATGAAACTATTCACACATTGTCTATACTCCTATTCGCGGATGATGTAGCGATATTTGGTTACAGTGTCTCAAACCTACAGAAGAAAATTGACATTTTATACGAATATTGTAAAAAATGGGGATTAACTATTAATACCGAAAAAAAGATAGTAGTCTTAAAAAATGGCAGCAAAATATTAAAACATGAGAGATGGCAAAAAATGGAAAATTACTAGAATGTACCTCTTCTTATAAATACCTAGGCATCGTGTTTTCATGTAGAAATGCATTTTCTGCAGCCTGTGAAACACTGGCGAAACAAGCCGAGAAAGCTTTACACAATGTCAAAGGCTTTATCCATAAGTTACGGAACATCTCAATAAAATCTGCGTCCATTATATTTGATAGTAAAATACAAACAATCTTCCTTTACAGTGCCGAAATCTGAGGAATACAAGAACGACCTTCGATAGAGAAAGCACGCACTAAGTTTGTGGTGGGGTGTGGTCCTGTGCACAGAGCTCAGGTCACGAATCAGTTGAAATTAATCAACCTTGAGCTCGGACAGTCCTTGGATGGGTGACCGTGTTTGGCAGCTGGACTCCTGAGAGTTTCTAGGACTTCAGTCCTGCCCCACAACGAAGCACATGTTATACATGTGGTCTCACCAAGTGAGTTTGTTCAAAGTTGCCTCTGTTCAGCCAGCAGAAAGTGGGTACCCGGTTGGATAGTCATGTGACTATAACCTTCTAACGCCTAACAGGTACAGTGCCGGTACAGGCAGGTTATCCGGGGAAATGAGAATCAGATTCTGATAAAGCGCTGTGAGCAAACACTTGGTTTTTGGAGACTGTGCGCCATAGGAAAAGACTTTTTATTGTTATCCCCCGCAACGCGTTTTGCGGGGGGTATTAAAATGGACTCTGTCCGTCCGTCCGTGCACATTTGTCTTTTCCAGTGCAGAACTCTAAAACCGTTCAATATTTCTTCACCAAACTTGGCACATACATGGATCTGGTGGTGTACTGGTGCCTTTTGGTAGGTTTGGAATTCTGAATTAAATATTTTTTGCGTTTCCATGGCAACAAGTTCGACTTTGACTGAAATTGGTGGTAGTGCTCTTTTCCGGAGCAGAAATCTAAAACCGTTCAATATTTCTTCACCAAACTTGGCACATAGATAGATCTGGTGGTCTACTGGTGCCTTTTGGTTGTTTTGGAATTCTGAGTAAAATATTTTTGGCGTTTCCATGGCAACAAGTTTGACTTAGCCTGAAATTGTGGTAGTGCTCTTTTCCGGAGCTGAACTCTAAACTGTTCTCTATTTCTTCACCAAACTTGGCACATAGATAGATCTGGTGATGTACTTGTGCCTTTTGGTAGTTTTGGAATTCTGAATAAAATATTTTTGGCGTTTTCATGGCAACAAGTTCGACTTAGACTGAAATTGGTGATAGTGCTCATTTCTGGAGCAGAACTTTCAAAACCTTTCAAAACTCTCCTTCCACTTTTCTATATACACACCTAAATATTTGACATAATCATAACTCGTAGACATAATCATGAAGAGTGTTTTGCCATTGCAGAGGATATTGATGACTTTGTCTTCTTGTTATTATTATTATTACTATGTTCTGCAAAGCCCTTCTTGGAATTGGTTATCGCTCCCCCAATAGAGCAGTTATGGATGATACACAAAGGAAAGCATTTGAACTTCTGAGGGCAGTGGGGTAGCCTAGTGGTTAAAGCGTTCGCTCATCATGCCGAAGACCAGGGTTCGATTCCCCAAATGGGTACAAAGTGTGAAGCCCATTTCTGGTGTCTCCATATTGCTAAAAGCGGCATAAAACTAAACTGTCTCACTTTAAACTTCTGAGTCACGACCTGGGATCTCCAACCTAGACTAGTCATAACAAACTACTTCCCGGTTATGTGTCCCCAGTTCTGGATCCCGCAGCTTTATTATCATTATTATTATAGGATATAGCGAATATCCACGCAACTAGTGCTTGCTGAAGGCGCTGGGTAGCAGATGGTAGCTGGGTAGCAGATGCTGAGGCTTCTCCTGGAAACACCTAGATGTGTATGTGCTGCCATCTCCATTGTTTACTACACAAGGTCGTAGCCAAGGTCAGCATGATGAGTTGCCTGTGACTCGTCTAATGTTAGTTGCAAGCGTCTTCTTCAACTTGGAAGACATCCTTGTGTGTCTTCATAGCCGACAGCGTCATCCCCGTGCCAGATTCAATCTGCTTGCATGGACCACCCGTAGATGGATGCTCATGGGCCTCCTTTTCAATTTGAATGAGATTATTTGTTACTATCAAAATTTTATATACCGGTACTCCTCACAAAAACTTAAGCAACAAGTGTTTTCAGTGTAATATCTTTATCATTCTCAATAGCGATTTTTGCCGACATGTTACTGAAAGGTAGATATTAAAAAATACATAACCTTTAGTGACTGTCAAATTGATTTATCTGATAACATTGACAACATCACCCGAACTCAACCACTCTCAGGAATAACATGCAAAATGTGTGGCATGAATGTGCTCCACTCTTCACACATGCACCCTGATCAGTGTAAACCTACCTGTAATCATTCCTCTGGTGCAACAAGCGGGTCCTAACTTCATTTTTATGGATGATAATGTCCGTCGATGGATGATAATTATTGAGAAAGAGTTGTTAACGATGTTGTTTAGATCAACCACATCACACATATGGACTGGCCTGCAAGGTCACTTGATCTTAATCCCATTGACCATGCTTGGGACATTATTGGAAGTCGTGTTTACGGTTTCCATGTTCACCACCAGACTCTGGATGACCTTGAGCAGGCGTTACAGAGAGAAATGGCAGAACATTCCACAACAGCAACTTTAAAGGCTCATTTGGTCAATGCAAAGACGTGTAGAAGCTTGCATTTGTGCTCATGGTGGTCATACGCGTTACTGAACACTGCTTCATTGCCCCAAACTGACTTAAACCTTAATGTTGACAGTTTGCTCCATCAACGCAGCACATTTTGCACGACTGTTTCACGGGTACATGCTTTTGATGATTTGTAAGTCGATTACCATTTCATTCCATTTTGTTCATCGTGTGTACATATATGTTTCACCTTTCTATTGCATCATTCCATGATTTGCAGTTTCAATAAATGAAAATATAATGAGACTAAAAAATTGTGTTGCTTAACTTTTTGTGAGGAGTATATATTCAGAGATGTTAGTCTACTCACCATGATATAACTTGTTATAACTATATAACATTTGAGTTACACTTTCTCAGTAAATTTACATCTGACCACTTTCTCAAAGGCACTGTGTGTACATCATGATGTGGTTTGAAAACTACTGGCTCTGCCATTCAACAAAACATTTCACCCTTTTCACCTCAGTAATGCAATCAGTTTTACAGATTAATGTTATATTTCCCTGCCAACTAGTGTTATTATTGTTATAAACATGATTAATATTTGTGTGGATCCATGCTGAACAATTAGATAAGACGCTCTCAGATCTGCTTCTACAACAAGCTGTTCACTTGTCTGTACTGTTATATTGATACATGATTACAAAGAGAAGTATTGGAAGGAAATAATTTAATGACACCATTAATATTTCCGACTATAGCTTCAACATACATCAGCCACCAATAATTGGTAAGTGTACGTTACAACATGGAACCATGAAACAGCAGGTTTTTTGATCTACTACAAAACTGGAATACCCTCCCAGCTATTACTGCACTGTTTATTCAATGTGTGGTTTGTTATGCATTATGCATGTGATATGCATAGAATGTTACCTCATGTACATAATGTAGGTAATAACGATAATGCCATCACCTGAATATGATATCCTTAGTTCTTACATCAGTGTAGTCGACTTGATGGTGTATTGAAAGAAGAACATCTATGTTAGAGTTGAAATATTATGACATTATGAGGCCTTTCTTTCCAAACTAACCAGGTCGGAGTTACCCCTGTTGGATTATGACATAATTAGTGCCAATTGTTTTAGAGGGGTGTGTGTGTGTGTGTGTGTGTGTAGCTGAGTGATTAAACTGTTCGCGTGTCGTGCGGAAGACCCGGGTTGCGATTCCCCACATGGGTACAATATGTGAAAGCCCATTTCTGGTGTCCACTGCCGTGATATTGCCGGAATATTGTTAAAAGTGCCGTAAAACCATACTCACTCATTTACTGTTTTAGACTGGTCTCACGTCTAATCTAAAAAAAAAGATAAAAATAATGAAGTTCATTGTGTGATTCACACTGTGAAGACATGTGTAACAAAAATACGAAAGATGCATTATAGATGAAACTATGCAGCATTATAGATTGACCACGAGTATTTTCAATACAAATGCCAAATGTCTAGAACAATGTTGACATACGTTGACATCATTATCTGTAAGAGACTTTAACAAAGTGGCGTTTTCACCAACACAGGTACGCAGAATGTTAAGAAAGAAACTTATGTTGATTCAGGCATCGTATGTGCTTAAATGTGATGTACGTCACGAAATGGCTGCGATATTGCCGATGTAACGCTAAATATTAACTCGCTCACTCACTCACTAAATGTGATGTAAGTAATCATATATACTTGCCCTTATAACAACTAGTCTCCGAAATGAACATATTTTACGGAAAAAGACAGGTCATAGTAAAAAAATATATATAATGAAAAGGAGCCCTGAGACTTTCTTCATTTTCAGAAACTGGAAATCTAGACTTGCCACATAATCTAGACTTGCATGGGCTTTCTTGGATATATTTCCTTCAGGGTCTGTATGACAGACTAACTTGCCCTTTAAAGGAGGATGTTAATAGCTCTGTATTAAGATAGGCCAAAAGAAATTAGACCACAGGGATGCTGTTCCTATTCAGCCTGTGTCTGGACGTGTTTCTCACCGTTGTGGCTCTCACGATGACATTGCTCTGTCCTGGTTTCAGACTGATACAGACAGAATGGGGGATGTTTCTGTCCTCAAGGAGGAGTTGGCCCAGAAAGATGACAACTTGATGAGAGCTGTGGAGGTTGGGAAGGCTCTCCTGGAAGAAAACTCACAGCTGAAGGATAAGATAGAAGATCTGGCCAAGAGCTATGCCCAGAAAGTGGAGGTATGGTGAGCCCTAGGAGGATCTGTCAGTGCTGTCTGTGTTTCCAGTCAATGTGTACTCACTCATTGTGTATTGATAGTTTTGGGAGTACTCAATACACAATGAGTGAGTACACATTCCTTGGATCTGAGGCTTGTTGAGGAGACATTTACAGCTGATGGTTTTCTTTTGAAAAGCCATTGCTGGAAACAATTTCTTACATTTCCAAGTCAAGCAGGTGATGCAATTCAAAATTCCTCCGAATTAATAAAGAATATGCGGATTTACAAGCGTCGACCAATCAGAGGATTTGCTTCGACCACACCCCTGTTTTGTGTGGACCTATCATTGTCCATTTGTGACTTGATCGTTTAGTTGAAGGTCAAAATCGGCTTTCAGTCGACTTGCAGAAATAACAATAAAGAATTGGTAGGTGTCATGGGTGGTGATCGATAGGCCAAGCATGCACAATTATGTTTACATTAAGTTTTAATTGATTGCATGTGATGGTAGTGTAGCGATCGGTGCACCGAAGTGTCTGGCCTTGTCATGATGTATTGCACTCTGAAGCATTTCGAGTTGGGGGTCATCTCAAAGAAAATGTTTTTAAATCTTTAATCCTCGCAAAGATGTGAGGGCCTGTGACTGAGGGTCCTATGTTTAACAACTTCACTACAGATTCTCATCTGTTTCTGATCTGTTTCTGATCTGTAATGAAATACTGGTACGTAAGTTGGAAAGGCTTCATAGGGCAATTATGTGTGGTGCTTTTGAAGTTCTTCATGCACATTTACACACAACTGACTTGTGTTGACCATGTGTGTTGACCTTGTGTGTTCAGGGCAGGGAGCAAGAGCTGTACAGTCTTCAGCTGAAGTATGACCAGAAAGCCAGCATGGAGAAGTGGTATATTGACGAGATCGCAACACTCAAACAGGAGATGGCAGCTCAAAGGGAGAGAATCAGCATCGAACTTGAATCACGGCATAACCAAGAAGCTGTACAGTTGAAAAAACAGGTTTCTGGTCGTACAGTGCATGTGTACTTAACAATAGTGTTCTGTTATTGTTAAAATTGAACTTCAATTCAGTCCATTCGTTTATACAGTTTATTTCCAGATGAATTGAAAAGTGACTTTATCTGTTTGTTACCATGGTTACAGATAAGTCATCTCCAGGCAGACCTAGATTTGTCCCAGAATGCCGAGCGCCAGTTGAAAGAGCATGTGAAGAAGCTGGAGGAACTGGTGCAGGAGCAGATGAATGAGACAGCAAATATCTCCCGCTCCTTCTACGGCGAGGAGCTCGGACAGGCACAGCAGGAGGTTGTCACACTGCAGAATGACAAGGTAGGGAGCCAGGACAAGCACCACATGGGGATAGTCACACTGTAGCATGACAAGGAAGGGAGCCAGGACAAGCAACACATGGAGATAGTGGCACTGTAGCATGACAAGGTGGTGAGCCAGGACAAGCACCACATGGGGATAGTGGCACTGTAGCATGACAAGGTAGGGAGCTAGGACAAGCACCACATGGGGATAGTCACACTGTAGCATGACAAGGTGGTGAGCTAGGACAAGCACCACTTGGGGAGAGCGTCACTGTAGCATGACAAGGTAGGGAGCTAGGACAAGCACCACATGGGGATAGTGGCACTGTAGCATGACAAGGTGGTGAGCTAGGACAAGCACCACTTGGGGATAGTGGCACTGTAGCATGACAGGGTAGGGAGACAGGGCAAGCACCACATGGAGATAGTCACACTGTAGCATGACAAGGTAGGGAGGCAGGACAAGCACCACATTGGGATAGTCACACTGTAGCATGACAAGGTAGGGAGCCAGGACAAGCACCACATAGGGATAGTCACACTGTAGCATGACAAGGAAGGGAGCCAGGACAAGCAACACATGGAGATAGTGGCACTGTAGCATGACAAGGTGGTGAGCCAGGACAAGCACCACATGGGGATAGTGGCACTGTAGCATGACAAGGTAGGGAGCTAGGACAAGCACCACATGCGGATAGTCACACTGTAGCATGACAAGGTGGTGAGCTAGGTCAAGCACCACTTGGGGAGAGTGTCACTGTAGCATGACAAGGTAGGGAGCTAGGACAAGCACCACATGGGGATAGTCACACTGTAGCATGAAAAGGTGGTGAGCTAGGACAAGCACCACTTGGGGATAGTGGCACTGTAGTATGACAAGGTAGGGAGCCAGGACAAGTACCAGTTGGGGATAGTGGCACTGTAGCATGACAAGGTGGTGAGCTAGGACAAGCACCACTTGGGGATAGTGGCACTGTAGCATGACAGGGTAGGGAGACAGGACAAGCACCACATGGAGATAGTCACACTGTAGCATGAAAAGGTGGTGAGCTAGGACAAGCACCACTTGGGGATAGTGGCACTGTAGTATGACAAGGTAGGGAGCCAGGACAAGTACCAGTTGGGGATAGTGGCACTGTAGCATGACAAGGTGGTGAGCTAGGACAAGCACCACTTGGGGATAGTGGCACTGTAGCATGACAGGGTAGGGAGACAGGACAAGCACCACATGGAGATAGTCACACTGTAGCATGACAAGGTAGGGAGCCAGGACAAGCACCACATTGGGATAGTCACACTGTAGCATGACAAGGTAGGGAGCCAGTACAAGCACGACGTGGCGACAGTCACACTGTAGCATGACAAGGTAGAGAGCCAGGACAAGCACCACTTAGGGATAGTCACACTGTAGCATGACAAGGTAGGTAGCCAGTACAAGCACCACATGGGGATAGTAACACTGTAGCATGACAAGGTAGGGAGCTAGGACAAGCACCACATGGGGATAGTCACACTGTAGCATGACAAGGTAGGGAGCCAGGACAAGCACCACATGGAGATAGTCATACTGTATCATGACAAGGTAGGGAGCCAGGACAAGCACCACATGGGGATAGTCATACTGTATCATGACAAGGTAGGGAGCCAGTACAAGCACCACATGGGGATAGTGTCACTGTATCATGACAAGGTAGGGAGCCAGTACAAGCACCACATGGGGATAGTGTCACTGTATCATGACAAGGTAGTGAGCCAGGACAAGCACCACATGGGGATAGTCATACTGTATCATGACAAGGGAGGGAGCCAGTACAAGCACCACATGGGGATAGTGGCACTGTAGCATGACAAGGTAGTGAGCCAGGACAAGCACCACATGGGGATAGTCATACTGTATCATGACAAGGTAGGGAGCCAGTACAAGCACCACATGGGGATAGTGGCACTGTATCATGACAAGGTAGGGTCCAGTGCACCACATGGGGATAGTCATACTGTATCATGAGGGGGATAGTCACACTGTAGCATGACAAGGTAGCCAGGACAAGCACCACATGGGGATAGTCATACTGTATCATGACAAGGTAGGGAGCCAGGACAAGCACCACATGGGGACAAGACAAGGTAGGGAGCCAGTACAAGCACCACATGGAGATAGTCATACTGTAGCATGGAGATAGTCACCACATGGGGATAGTAACACTGTAGCATGACAAGGCTGGGAGCCAGGACAAGCACCACATGGGGATAGTGGCACAAGCACCACAGGAGATAGTCATACTGTATCATGACAAGGTAGGGGGGATAGCCAGGACAAGCACCACATGGGGATAGTGTCACTGTACTGTATCATGACAAGGGGGATAGGGAGCCAGTACAAGCACCACATGGGGATAGTCATGACTGTATCATGGACAAGGTAGTCAGGGAGCCAGTACAAGCACCACATGGGGATAGTCATACTGTATCATGACAAGGTAGGGAGCCAGTACAAGCACCACATGGGGATAGTCACACTGTAGCATGACAAGGCTGGGAGCCAGGACAAGCACCACATGGGGATAGTCACACTGTAGCATGACAAGGTAGGGAGCCAGGACAAGCACCACATGGGGATAGTCATGGGGATAGTGCCTGTACTGTATCATGACAAGGTAGGGAGCCAGTACAAGCACCACATGGGGATAGTGGCACTGTATCATGACAAGGTAGGGAGCCAGTACAAGCACCACATGGGGATAGTGTCACTGTATCATGACAAGGTAGGGAGCCAGTACAAGCACCACATGGGGATAGTCACACTGTATCATGACAAGGTAGGGAGCCAGTACAAGCACCACATGGGGATAGTCACACTGTATCATGACAAGGTAGGGAGCCAGTACAAGCACCACATGGGGATAGTCATACTGTATCATGACAAGGTAGGGAGCCAGTACAAGCACCACATGGGGATAGTCATACTGTATCATGACAAGGTAGGGAGCCAGTACAAGCACCACATGGGGATAGTGGCACTGTATCATGACAAGGTAGGGAGCCAGTACAAGCACCACATGGGGATAGTGGCACTGTATCATGACAAGGTAGGGAGCCAGTACAAGCACCACATGGGGATAGTCACACTGTATCATGACAAGGTAGGGAGCCAGGACAAGCACACATGGGGATAGTCATGCACTGTAGACAAGGTAGGTTGCCAGTACAAGCACCACATGGGGATAGTGTCACTGTATCATGATAGTTGCCAGTACACACCACATGTAGTGGCATGACATGGCAGGTAGTGAGCCAGTACAAGCACCACATGGGGATAGTGGCACTGTATAGTCATGACAAGGTAGGTTGCCAGTACAAGCACCACATGGGGATAGTGGCACTGTATCATGACAAGGTAGGGAGCCAGTACAAGCACCACATGGGGATAGTGGCACTGTATCATGACAAGGTAGGGAGCCAGTACAAGCACCACATGGGGATAGTGGCACTGTATCATGACAAGGTAGGAGCCAGGACAAGCACCACATGGAGATAGTCATACTGTAGCATGACAAGGTAGGGAGCCAGGACAAGCACCACATGGGGATAGTCATACTGTATCATGACAAGGTAGGGAGCCAGTACAAGCACCACATGGAGATAGTCATACTGTAGCATGACAAGGTAGGGAGCCAGTACAAGCACCACATGTAGTCAAGCACCATGACATGGAGATACATGGGGATACTGTAGCATGACAAGGTAGGGAGCCAGTACAAGCACCACATGGAGATAGTCATACTGTAGCATGACAAGGTAGGGAGCCAGGACAAGCACCACATGGGGATAGTGGCACTGTATCATGACAAGGTAAGGAGCCAGTACAAGCACCACATGGGGATAGTGGCACTGTAGCATGGCAAGGTAGTGAGCCAGTACAAGCACCACATGGGGATAGTCACACTGTAGCATGACAAGGTAGTGAGCCAGTACAAGCACCACATGGGGATAGTCACACTGTAGCATGACAAGGTAGGTTGCCAGTACAAGCACCACATGGGGATAGTGGCACTGTAGCATGGCAAGGTAGTGAGCCAGGACAAGCACCACATGGGGATAGTGGCACTGTAGCATGGCAAGGTAGTGAGCCAGGACAAGCACCACATGGGGATAGTCACACTGTAGCATGACAAGGTAGGGAGCCAGTACAAGCACCACATGGAGATAGTGGCACTGTAGCATGACAAGGTAGGGAGCCAGGACAAGCACCACGTGGAGATAGTGGCACTGTAGCATGACAAGGTAGGGAGCCAGGACAAGCACCACATGGGGATAGATGTAAGTATACTCCCCAGTGTTTATCATTTTTCCTTATCCCGACTCATGCTATATTGGTTATCTCCCTTCTTCTTCAAACGGTTAAGTGAAAGCTTGAATCCCTTTCAGTTTGTGTTTGATATTCTCATGATGTATTTATTACACACATTTGTCTGATTTTGAATTTCATTGAATTTGATTGAAAATTTGATTGAATATTTGGCGTTCAAGTCTACACAACCTGTTGTCAGATATGGCGTTCCAGCTAGTCTGCGTTGAGAAGGTTGGTGCAGTCATCTGATCTTGAGTTGTTGCAGTTTACATGTGCAGAGTATAGCCCGCCGTTCCTGCCTTTACAATGTCATCACAGTCCCTGCCTGTGATGTCTCTTGTCCCTATGGAGGTTGCCTGTCAGTCACCAGGTAAGAGGAAGTCCTCTCTAAGAGAAGCTGAGTCGCAGCATAAGAAGAGGAGGTCCTCCACTTTGACGAAGAAACCCTCTACATCCAGGTCGTCACAGATCTTCGAGATCATCGGGTCCTGCTACTACTCAACAATCGTTGACAGCCAGCGTAGACCTGTCTATCGGTGTCATCTCATCAACTGTCTCGGACTACATGAATCCTGCACCTGTGTTGGAGGACGGTCATCATGCAGAGGAAGATTCCTCCATCTATATCGACGCAGAGTCGGTCCTGGGTTGCTGACGGTCTCCCAATC